AAAGAGGGAGATTTGGATTGGCTCATAATCAAAGGTCCACAGGCAACCTAGTGAACTCAGATGTGTATATGGACAGATTGTGCTGCACAGGAGCCAGGAGTCCAGCTGATTGTTGCATTGCACAGCATATGTGCATTGAGGTCAATTGCATCCAGCTCTACATATGTATGCTCTGTCCTAGTGTTTCCAAAGTGGAAATATGACCGTCTGTCTTCTGTGTTTTAAAATGTCTCTGGATTGCTGTTCCATAGTCTCACTCTGCCTGTCTCTGAGAACAGGAGCGGCATGTTGTTAATCCATGTTATCCCTGGCCATTAAGAGGAGCTGGTCTATTAAGAGAAGGTGTTAAACTTGCTTGTGCCTTTTTTTACTCTAAATCACAACCTCACGAGATGGAGACATTTCCTCTGCTCAGGTAGAGGAGCCTGAGTCTTTAGGAAATATAGTACCAAACTGATATAATGAGACCAAGGTGGGATTACTCATCACCTACACAGCTGTTAAACTGCCTGTATTCACTGACCAAAAGCAGTTTAACATTATAGTAAAGTTTTATAATTATATATAATAAGTATTTATAAACATGGGATTTCCGTTACAGTAGTTTAACAGTAGAATTCACATGCAGGATTACAAAAAATAAAATCAGCATCAAATGGTCCACAACTTCTCACATCATCAACCTTTTGAAATCACCAGGCAAGTAACGAGTGTCATGCATGTGATGGTGACTGGAAGGACTGTGGTGTCCATACTGAATTTACCGTTGCAGTGGCTAATCTGGGCTCCCAGTGGAGGATTATGTGTTCTTAAGCAGGATCTTTACATGTTCACACATCAGTCTTCAGCTGTGGAAGGATATTTCTGTTTTTCAGCCAGATGGATGAATGGAATTCCAGTTTACCAAGTGCCTTAGACTGCCAATCTTTTCCTTTTGCACCTGGGCTTTTTGGTGACCAGGTGTGAGAGCCAGTACAATATCAGTAGTTGTTGGAAAGATTATTGCTGGGTTTATTTTTGCACCAGTTGTCTTTTATTTTACAACTCCCTGTGATCTCAAATAGACCAATTTAGAAACATCAGTCTGAAAAAAAGCAGAATACTGTCCTCAGTTTGTGAATCATGTCATGAAAGTAACTTGATCTGAGTATTTTCATCTTTTCTTTACTTTCTCTTTTTAGAATTACCACAACAACTGTGTCAGAGGCAGATCTGTGCGTATTATGCAGAGTTGGTTGAGGGGTTGATTGGGGTATTTTTGAGATATACCCCAATTCTGTGTGACAGGCAGCAAATTCCCAAAAATAAATTAATCCTGTAAAATGGCATAACAGTCATGAGTTGATCTGGAAGGCCGGACACTAAAGAAGCTTTAAATAATAACATCAGACAAAACTTGCATGTTGTCTGCTCCATATATACCATACTTCCAGGATTATCAACTGGGGACGAGTGAGGTGTCAAGCCAGCATCAGTAGAGTTATAAAAGGAGATCATGAAAGCTGGTGAGCTGTTGGAAGAAGATGTCTCAGTTTTTTGTCAGCGTTTTCTTTTTATAAAGGCGACAAAATCCTTTGTGGAGAGAGAACAGAGAGGAATCTGGGTCAAAGACAATATAGGAGAGAGAAGACGGTGGGGAAGGGCTTTCCTGCAGTACAGCAGAAAACTGGATTTTTGTTTTGTCAGACATAAACAAGGAAGAAAGGGAGCATTAGAGAAGAAATAATTGGAATCAATGTTAAATACAAGTGAGATCCAGGTAGAAAAGCCAGAGCAGACCTACATGAATTAGGACGGTGAAGGTCAGAGGAAGGCGGGAGGGCAGAATAAAGAGGTGGAGGAAGCAGTGGAAAGAGTGAGGAATGAGTCAGGTGGAGGAGAAGAGGACCAGATGGAGACAGAGAGAGAGGAAGGGCAGAGAGACTGTGCCAAGCACGGCTATCACATAAGGAGACCAAGTCACTTGCGGAGAGCAGAATGGAGACTGACACAGATTGATGGCCCGAGACATTAAGGGGCTAGAAGTGGAGCAGGCTCCAGAGAGGAATAAGCCAACTCCAATTTCATCTTTATAAATGAGTGAAAAGGCAGAGAGGGGAACATCAAAGAAACACGGGAGTGGAATAATGAAATGATTCTTCTCCTAGCCTTATTACTGGGTTAGTAATGAATCAGCTGCAGAGAGTAGGTCACAGAGCAGATGAAAATTTGATGAGGAGGCATGGGTGAATGGCCTGTGAATAGATAGTCAGTGCCAATCAATCTGGTAACACAGACAGAGAAAAAATAATATGTGTGTTTATGGTCTAAATTAGATCTTTAGTGTAGGGCAAAGGTCAGTGAGATGAACAACAAACATTGCTGCACCTGTCAGGAGTTAAGGGAGTATTACACTGAAAGACTCAAACAAAGTTTACACCAAAACCTACGCTGGAGTCAGTTTAATAGAAATTATTATTTGTGCTTCTGGCTCAGAGACAAGATACCAAAATCAGGTTGCCCACAATGACAAAATAATGTCTGTGTCTGTATCTGCTAAAAAAGACATTGAGAGAGCAAACTGATCAAGTAATCCACATGTCAGGAGGTCCGGCACCACACTACTCCATCAGTAATGAAAATTATTTCCAAAATCTGTCAAATTGATTTTCTTCTTGCAAACAAGCATTAGTGGAAGATGCATTTAAATGATGCAGACACTGTGGTCAAATTATTTTCTTAAGTTTTAGAAAGGTGTCCATGCTAACTAATACTGCTATGTGTAGCAAAAACATGAGACTTCAAGCAGCAGACTCCTTTCTGCACCATGGAAGAACAAACATTTAATTTAATCAAAATGTCACAGTTGAATTGGAATAAAATCCAATGTAAAGCTGCCTGATCAAGATCCACAAAAAAAGAGAAAATGGTTGTTTTACAGCTCATAACTGGGTTCAACATATTCCCTAATCCACTCCAGTGAAGCCAGCATATGGCTCATCTATTAGATTACACCAGCTTGTCCGTCCATATTCAAGTGGACAGCACGCACTTGCCTGTTTTAAAATAGTTTGCACAGCGGGTCGGTATGTGTTTTTGTTTTTTTTTCTTCAAGGGAATCTCATTATATTTTGTTAATTTATTTGTCATTTTATTTTTTCTCATTCACAGCAGGTCAGCTCTCCTACTAATGTATAACTTTCTTTTCTTTAATTCAAAATTCATAAACCTGCAGCACCCCCAGTCATTCCAGTGATTACACGGTGCGATTAGCCATCTATTCGCATGTTTTAATGCATGAGAAAGCAGGTAGGATGAACTCCTAAGCTGTAGTCATGCATTTATGCTATAGTTAATGGACTGTACTGACTGCACAAATGTGAAGGTATGTGGGTGTTTACTGATGATGATCTGAGCACAAAGAAGCACCTGTGTATCTGCTAGTGTAGGCAGTCCAGTTAGGCGCTCTGTTCAATCCAAAACAGGCCTGAGCACCAACAGCTACCAGCACAATACACTGCCAATTTATAATAATAATTGTATAATTGTCATAAAGCTGAAGGGGGAGACAGGCAGCAGCCATAAAAGCTTCTTTTTTAATGCTACCTGACGAGAGAACATGAAGTGCATAAACTTAATGTCAGTAGTTATATAAGTGCTGTAAAGCTTCTCTAAATACGTGCAATTTGGACATTTCCACTGCATTAATTTGTATTAATCGTGACTTGATCAAGATGATCAGTTTAATTTTTCATTTCATACTGTTCATTAAAAATGTAGAATTTATATACTATAAAGGAAAATTAAAATGGAATTGGTTGCTGTGCTTACTAATGGTAAGCTAATTTCAAAGCTATATCTATGTAATATAAGTTGTTGTTTTGTTGTTTGTTGACTTGTTCAAACTTTACATTGCACCATAGTTTCTGCTCTATTATCCAATTTTTACACCCAATTATCGTAAGTCGTTATTATAACTAAAGATATATTTGGCAGGTAATTGCTGTGTCTAACTGTTATTTAGCTCTTGTAGCTACAGAATAAGCAGAACATGTTTTTACTTTAACCACGAATGCGTCAATACTTGAGTGAGTTCTGTAGGTTGACGTGCTGCCGTGGAGCCAAGGAGAGAGAGACAGTGCAGTGCTGTCTATGCCCTTCACTACTGTAGTCTCTGTGGTGCTTAACGTCATTACCTCCCGTCACCACAGCAACTGGCCTGGCTACATCCTCAGAAATGCATTTGTTTAGGCCTTTATTGACTGTCTGTGTGTGTGCCGGGTGCTTGTTGATGTGACTGTATATCACCCACAGCAGAGAGCCAATCACGGTTACCAACATGTCAATGAGAACACAGGGTGGTCTTTAAGTGAATGAATAACCACAAAATTCATTACTCCACATCCCATCAGACAATCAACTTTATGAACACACATCTCCATCACCCTTGTCCCTCATCCTCTTGTCTCACTAGGCTTTCCTGTTCCCCAGGACATGACCACGTGCCGCCTGCACCGACTGAAGGTTTAATAACACTAAAAGGTTTACCGCCCCCACATATCTCTCTTCTGCCCCTCAGTAACGCCGCTCATTACTGAAATTATCAGGTCCGCTCTAATAACTTACCTGCCTATGAGTCACGGTGAGCCTGAGGAACAACCGTGTGAGTATCAGAAACATTTTACTGGAAAAATAAAAAAAATACAATTTCACTGCAAAAACATGGTAGTAATCTGTGTCAGGAGTTTTATATCATGGAAGTGGACAAGTTAAATATCTATAATTTATCTGCAGAAACTCAAAGCGTGCACTAACATATCTCTCAGAGACATATCATTTCTCAGTGTTGAATAATAAATGTTAAAGCACAACATTGTACTCTGCTGTCTGTGTTGTATATGTATTCTATACAGATTGAAAGTAAAGAAGTACATTTACTCAAGTACAATATTTAAGTTAATTTAAGGTACTTTACTTGAGTATTTCCATGTTCTTCATCTTTATACATTGACTGCACTGTATTTTGCACTGTACTCCTCTTTACTGATTTGACAGTTATAGTTACGTTGCAGATACAAAACATATGAAGAACTCTATAGCTTTAGCTATAGCTATAACTATAGCTTTAACTTCCCAAAAAAGTCGATCAAATGAGCTCCACATTGAACATCTACAACAGTAAAAGACTACTCAAACATTAATGTATTAGTAAAGTATTACAACCCAAAAAATAAATCACACACAAGGGAGATTGTCTGCATTACAAGTACTTCAACTTTTGATACTTAAATACATTTTTCTGATAATACTTACGAACTTTTAGCTAAGTAGCATTTTTGAATGCAGGACTGTTACTTATAATCGATTTTCACATTGTGGTAGAAGTGTAGTGGGAGTAGTGGGTGGACTTCTTTATGTGTAAAATGTGACTGGGATACAGTTATTTAACACTAACATCCTGATAAAAATAAAAACAGCAATACATAGTAATTATCACTTATATGTTGAACACAGCACAATCGAAATCACCGTTTGCATAATAATTTATTCACGTATTTTTTCACATACTATATATTATTATTGCTGCAGTTTTGGAGCCTTTCGGGTATTCACTTTCAACATTCCCATAGTGGGATTCTATGTTCATATCTCTTTATATTTTTCATCTTCATGCATGCTAGTATTACATTTCACAGAGCAGGATGCAAATAAATAAAACAGTCTCTTTTTAAGTTACATGTCATAATCTATCCATTCTATTAATGCTTCAGTAACATGCCTTTTTCACAGTCCATAGGGGAGAAAACACTTTCCGGAAAATATAGTCTCCATTAGAGGGTGAAGGCTTAACAAAGAGCACATTAATAATACATATTATTAAAGCTGGCAATCTATGATTAATCTTCAGCACCACCCAAACCAATGTTACCCTGTCCAAGTGAAGCTCATCTATACCGCATAGGGAAAAGGCTAAGTGTATTACATTTCATCTATGTACAGTAACTTTGGAATATGGCACCAGATCTGCTTGTGAAAGCTTGAGGTTACACCTTAAAATATTTCTGACTACAATACTTTTTCCTGTTTATTTAAAAAAAAAATCTTTATATAACTAGATTCAGCCCCTTAGACAGCGATCACACTTTAGAAGCCCAAGTGGAAACACTAGCACATGTTCCTTGACAGTTTTCAGTGGCTTCTGAGAGTAAACAGCATGCCTTGTAGGCATTGGGAGCATTGTGGTGCGTAGCACAGTGTTGGAAAGTAAATCTAACTCTAATGTTCTATGCACCATGTGTCTCACTTTGAACAAAAGCAATGTCAGTCTGTAGTCTGACTGGCACCTAATGCAACAAAAAAACATAAAGAACAGTGACAATTTTTAGGAAAATGCCTGGACAACAAGTACTGTGTTCCAGTTTATGCTGATAATTTTAGTACATGTTTCTTACAAAAGGTACGTGTTTGTCCACTGAGTGACTTTATTCAAAGATTATGGACAATGAGAAATAACATTATCTTTCTCTCAGTAGCTCAGATTAGCTTAGCATTAAATTTTCTGACTGAAGTCTGAGATTGGCTTTTTTTCCCCATACACATGCGTATGCATGCACACGCTTAAGCTCTTGCATATGCGCATAATTAGAAAATAAGGGGATTATTTCTGACTTACAGCAAAGGCAAATAATGAAGAACTTCAGATAATTCAACCTCAGACTATCTTTACAGTATTTTAATATTAGTAATTGCTCAGTTTCGTCTGTTGGGTTCTTTGAAGGCACCTAGTGTCACCTAGGCAGAGCAGAACTCTCCATCATGTAAGTTTTAGGTGTAAGCATTGTTACAGCAACAAAGCTGCCTTGATAGGAAGGTGATTCTTGTCTCTTGAAGTGTCAAAGATTCTACTTTGTGAATTGATGCTTCATCGTGACTACACAGAGTTTTTCTGTGCTCCTGAATAATAATGCAGTGGTGAGTTTTGTGCCCTAGTGATCGGGGGTCCTGGGCCAGGGAAAAGCTCTTCTCCAAAATCTAAGAGGTCCTCAAGCCCCGGGGCAGAGAAGCCTCTGTCAGACGTAAGCTGACTCACTAGACTGGGTCCTGCCCAGGTTTGGGGTCTGGGACAGGTGTGAAACATCCTTCTTGCGTACTTCACAGATGGACTTCCTTCGGGCCTGCACCCCTTGCATGGCCGTCTTTATCTTCCTCCAGCCGAGGTGGTTGAGCTCAGCCAGGTTGAGCAGCACACATATGCCACTTACTGCAAACATAAAGACCAGAAACACGGTCTTTTCTGTGGGACGTGACACGTAACACTCCACCTCCTTCACACATGGGTAGCGATCACACTCAAACATCCCTGGCACATTAAAGCCGTACAGAAAGTACTGGCCAGCCAAGAATCCGATCTCCAGCGCGTTGCGGAACACCACCTGGATGACATAGAAACGGGAGATGCCTTCCTGTCGTCGCACTTTGGAACTCTTGTGTGTTTGAGGGAATCCCCGGGGTCCGTTAGGGATCTCCTTGACCTCCAGGCAGTCATGATCCTCCTTACTGCTGTCAGGGTGCACCAGGATGCCGTTGATGTTGCGCGAGTGAAGCTTGCGAGCATGATGGTCATGATGGCGACTGTGGTGACCGTGACCATGGTGGTCCATGTAAGGATGCAGGAGAGAGTAGCTTCGGTCACGTGCTTTAGCAGACTGGTGAACAGAATATGTGATGAAGCACAGGCTGGGCGTGCACACCAAGATGATCTGAAAGACCCAGTAGCGGATGTGCGAGATGGGGAAGGCCTTGTCATAACAAGCCTGGTTGCAGCCGGGCTGCATGGTGTTACAAATGAACATGATTTGCTCATCTTCATATACCTTCTCCCCCACTATGCCTACTATCAGGATACGGAAAATCACCACCACTGTCAGCAGGATCCTGCAGAGAGACAGAAGGAGAAGGAAAGGGCAGGAATGGGAGGGGGTGAAAGGGAGACAGACAAAGCCAGTTAATGAGGATCAAATGCACAGAGTTTCAGGAAACATCTGAGTATGATTCTAACTGTTTAGAAGTCTTGGTTCAACATAATTTAACTGGTGATTGGATGCTGATTTATGTGTTCACCTGTACCCTAAAATCATTTCAGAGCAATAGAAAGAAAACAGTTTTCAAGCAAGATCCCTTGTCAGACCTAACTATGTGCCTGTGTGTGTGTGTTTGTGTGCACACACATGGGTATGTGCTTGCACATGTCATAACTCAGCTGCTGTGACAAACAACACCGTTGGATGGTGGAGTTGCGCTCTAGATAGCATGAACACATGAGCTCACTAATCATAAGAGACTAAAACAGATGATTTCACATCTTCACTGCTGAGCTGAAACGGAACAGCGCGCATATCAGTGTGTGTGACTGTACTTAAATGCTTAAACAATGCTATCCAATGATATAAGTGTGGTAAAATATATAAGATAATAAGATAATGTTAATATTAATTCCTGCTTTTCATTGTATTCCATCATAAATGTTGCTTCATTAAACTGCTGTACAAATAACCTCAGCGTTAGGTACCATATTACGGGTCAGCCAGCTTCCCAGTTGAGGTGAATTTTTAGGGGGGTGTCTGTTTAAAGAGCTCAGATATCCTCAAATCTGGTAAAATGAAAGAAGCTCCTGTTGCAAGGTTCATGTGAGTGCTGATTATTAGCAACTTAGTGCTGAACCACACAGGTGACATGTTTAAAAACTGCGGGGACCTCACATAGAGCATCATTAGTGCACAGCTGCAGTTAGAGAGAGCGATCTAGAGAGCGGTGTGGCTGCTTTTCAAGGTTTCTGTGAGACTGGATTGCTGTACTGTTATCATCTGGTGTCGATCCAGCATGGGCACTGCGGAGGAGGACTGGGGCTTTAAGGCTGCACTGTCAGCCCTTTTTAATGAGCGAGGAAAGTCTGCACATCATGGGGCTCCCTGGTGCCACAATGCAGTGGATGTGCATGCTCCCTGCGTGGAGGAGCCAATTACTTAAAACACACTTGTTTCCAGGCACAAGGGGGCCACCCAGGGCAACTAAAGAGACAGAGATAGATGGGAGCTGGCCCCAGGTGTGTTGGAACAACTGGAGTAAATGGCAGTATGACAATAGCGTGTAAGGTTATATGATTTCTGATTATTTTCAATATGCACATGAAAAGATGTTCTTTGTTCAATAGTGTGTCTTTTAATGAGGACTCAAAATGCCCACACACGCCTTCCATGGCAAGTCACCATAGCAACCAGCAAATCAGCGAAAGGTGAAGATCTGGACACGATCACAGGGAGAGAAGAAGGGTGTCGACACCGAGATATGGAGGAAAATATATCTTACAATTGTGGGAAACAATGTGAAAAAGTTGTGTGTCCTTGAATGAAAAAAGAAATGTCTTTGATCAAGGAGACAGCTCGTGAGAGCAGAGTGGAAGACAGGTGAAGGTAAGTGGTACAGCGTAAAATAGATTTCAAATAGAACAGAGTGCCGCTGCAGGACTGTTCCTGCTCCACCTGCGAGTGCATGCCTGTGTGTTTTTTTTTATTGTGAGAAAGACACGAGGACACAGAGACAAAGAGGGAGAGTCAGCCATGTGTATGACTTGTGCAAAATGGCAAACATGTCGGGCTGTCAGTGCTCGGAGCAGCTGTAGGCGCATACGCTACACTGACTTTCAGTATGTTCAGAAATACAGAGCAAAGCCTCTCCCCACCTCTGGTCTTCCAGAAGCCCCCCCCCCCCCCCCCCCCAAAAAAAAAAAAACTGTTGAGGCAGTTGGCCGCCCACCTTGAGTCTAAGTTCTGCTCGAGGTTTTTTTTTTTTCTTGCTCATGGTGGGAATTGTAAATAATATTACAAAGTACAGTCTTGACTCTAATCTGAAAAGTGCAATGAGATAACTTCTGTATAATGAAATTTAATTAATAAATGCAGCTCATGTATGTATTGTGTACATTTACGTGAAGACATTCAGTCACTTTCTTTAGTGTGTGCCGGATGTATCTGCCTGGTGGTTTGACAGCAGTGGATTCGACCGAAGGGCTGATATTGATGATTCTTTGCACCACAAGGAGTCATCGGACGCACACTACTCACTGAGACAGAAATCTGTGGTCGACACTGCTCATGTATATGCAAATAGTTGTTTAAATAACATAAATATGAAACTATCTCATGTTCGGTGTCTGCAGCTCTGGGTGCTGATTTAAAACAATGTAACAGGAGAGAAAACGTCTTACATCTGCATTTACTTTCTGTTTCTATTCAAGGTCTGCTTCTTCTCATGCAAGTGATAATTACTACATTGTAACAGCAATAACTAAATGTCACTAAGTCTGCTTCTATCCACATTTCTGAAAAATGGCACAAGCTCACAGACTGGACAGCTCGTATATGTCCACAGTAACTTTCCTAGTAAAATTTCTCTCAAATGTCTTTTTTATATTTCACACCTAACAGATGGCTTGTCTTTTATTAATTAATGGTGTATGGAATCTCTGCAGAATAATTATGCATAAAACACCTCTGCATAATCAGTTTCTTTACGTCTTAATGGCAGGCTGCACAGTCAGGAGTCCAGGTTCATGTATGTATATTTCTGTCAGTTTTTGATGATTTCTTAAATTGTGGTGATATGCTTTTGGATTGCAGACTTGTCTTGTTTAGTTTCTGTGTGTTGTGCATCTTTGTGTTTTTCTCCGTGTTCTAATGAGCAACTGTTAGATTGCTCTTTAGTGTTTGTTAAACAATTTTCTATATTCCATAAATAAAACCAATCAGTCAACAGCTGACTGGGGACTGAGGATTTTTTGATATACACTACAAAGGATAAACGTATGTCCCTGTATGCGACATACAGTATCTTACAGTTTTCTCAGTGCAGCTTTGTTGCTTTATACCTTAACAGTAAGAATTTTCAAACAAAACTTTTCCTAAGTACCGTACTGCAGATATTCAGTCATTCGGTCTATACTTGTTTGTCAGGCAGTTTTATGTCATTAAAGAATTCGAAGACATTGCAAGTATTGAGTGTTGTGCTGTGTGTGGGTGTGTGTGTGTGTGTGTGTGTGTTTGTGTGTGTTTGTGTCTGCATGTGTGTGTGTACTCTACTGCTGGATAACAGGATAATCAGCACGCGGCAGATTGCTGCATTAGCAGAATGCAGCGGACGAAGGTTATCTGCAAACATCAGTGTTTTAAGCCCTGCAGAGTAAAGAGCCAATACTGTACGTTAGAGCAGATTGGGACAGGACAGCCCGGAGGCCTGAACCTGCAGAATATTCAATAACCCCCATGAATGATGAAAAAGATTTTAGAATTTTTAGTAACTCAAACCCGGGGGCAGAATATCAAAATAGGGCCGCTTGCTGAGTGGATTCAAAAAGAAAACATCCAGGCACTACACTGCATTGTCTGCCACACGGTTCCTTTAACCAAAAGTTCCTTACATGGCCAGTAAATTGTCTCCCACATCAGTCACCACTCATCACATTATTTAGCTACCCACCTCCAGGAGGACCTTCCCTTAGTTAAGACTGATCATAACATTTTTGGAGACTTTCAAAATCCGTAACACTGTACTGGCAATTAGTAAGATTTGAAAGAAATTTAATCTGTCTGTATCCCTCACATGTGAAAGTTCTTCTCCAGTTTTCACTTTCTTGTGCTGCATCACTGAAGGCTGGTATTTATATTAAGTGCACTAGGCCAACAAATCTCATAGACATTCTGACATTGATGGGAGGGACAATGCGAGGAGGAAGTAAAGATAAGGACATGACCCGTCACTGCTGTGAAACTATACAAACTCGTGTAGGCAGCTGATTGACCTGTGAGATTGTGTGTACAGTATAATGGTAGCTGCTCTTCAGCTGGTGTGTCGGCTGGACATGCAGGCTCTGTCTTTCCCAGAGGCTTTCACACACACACACACACACACACACACACACACACACATTCAGTCATACAGCAGCTGCTACCGCCAGCCTCCAGGGACAAGAATTGCCTCCAGCGCAAAAGCAGATGGATTGGGAAACACACACACACACGTACACTTTACTCTCACACATTGTGAATATCAATGACCCTTTACTGTATAAATAAAGTCAAGAGTGACAGACATATAGAGGTGTATACCTGTAAATGTAGGTGCACAGACAGTCTTCTGAAGGACTGGTTAATTTCACTAAAGAAAATATTCTTCCCGCCTGTACGCTCGCAATAATAAGCCCCACTGATTGCTGACAGCACATAATGAATAAAGACCTCACCAGGCGTAGAAATTAGGCAGCTTAATTATCATAGTGCAGACATTTCTTTCCTCCCACCCCTCATCACCTTCTCTCAAACTGTTTTAATAGTTTCAGGTCTTGCCCACGTATCAGGCAGGCGTGGATGACCGCCTGAGGCGCTGATAAGAGTCGGTGTGACGATTACATTAATAAAAGCTAAACTTGTGTGCCTTCAGCTGCAGCGGTTCATTTCCTTCTGGCCTGCTCTGAAAATACATAGATTTTTTTTATTGGAGTGTAAAACTTAAAGGATTTATAAATAGACCTTTCTGATGTATGACATCAAAAATCATAAATGGTATTTATTTCTGGAAATTTCCATTGTGCCACAACACAGTCCACATGTGCAGAAATTTAATTATCTCACTTGCTGATTCACAAACTCTGAAGTAATGGCTCCCAGCTGTTTTTCAGGAAAAAAGGACGGAACAAAGAAAGATATTTGGGGTGCACTCTACAGGTAACTGCCTCACTTCATGAGGCTGAGATGGGCTTTAACACGATTTGGGTTATATTAATACTGTAAGATTAAAATATCAGAAATAGCTTATGCTAAAATCTTCTTTTACTTTTTTTTCTAAGGCAAAACACAACTTTTCTATTAACTCATTGCACAGTC